TTTCGTGCGAAGGCGCACTAAATTCGGAGCGAGCAGTCCAACTCCCGAAGGCGGAATTTTAAAATAAAAAATGATTTAAACGATCGTTTCTCCTTCGAACGCAAATGCAAAGATACGAAATAGCGGGAATCCTTGCCGGTCGATGTTTGCGGTTGATATTATCACTCGGCGTTCCTTTAACTTCGGATTTAGAGCCGCGATACGATTAGGATATTTAGGGCTGTTTAGAGCGAAAGGGTTGCACAACCGTTTGGCAATTGGCTGCAAACTGGAGAGACGCGTTTAGGAGGCGACGAAAATTCGCAAAACCGCTATTAGTCTCGGTAAATTATTAACGCCGGAGTAGTTCCAATTGGCGCGTCTGTAACAACGGTCGTGGAGCAAGGGGATCGAGCTGCGATGATCGGACTGCCGTCCTCGACGAACAATATAAAGAAGACAGATCGCGAACACAAAATTCGACGTCCACTTTTCCCGAAGAACTAAAAATTTATAGTTTAATATGACTATGCTACGGCTTTCGTGCATTTGTAAAAGAAATAAGTAGAAGATATTCCCAACGCGATAAAATTATTAAAGAAAGAAAGAAAGAAACTTCGAACCGGCTGCTGCTAGTTCTTACAATCGATGCAGAAAATCGATATTTTTATCAAATTATGATCGAGGAATCGCTAACAGTCGAAACCAGCCTCAAATTTCGCCGTGGATTCCATCGAGGAGAAAATTTGATTCCATTATCCGCGTAGATCACTCGATCAACCACGGCGAAGCGGAAAAGGCGTCGATTGACCCGCGGATCGAAGGGCCAAACGCGTGTTCTCGGCGACGCGTTCCCGTGGAAACAAGCAGAAAAACGCGGAGCAAGAAAAAGAGGAAGCAACGGAGCAGGCGGGGACGCGACGTTCGAGCCTCCTTGGGCTTTTTCGCGTCATTGTTCGGCGGATACTGGCCCCGGCCGGATGAGGGAACGCGAAAGAGGAAGAGGCGAAGGGAGCCTCGTAATTTTCCAGTCGCGCCGCCTCGCCGTGTAACAATGAACGAGGCCGGTCCCACGAATACAATGGCAAAGCGGCGCGGCGCGGCGAAATCATCGCGGGTCCGCGAGAATCCCGTAAATTTGTCTGGAATTCCCGACCGTCGCGTCGGCCGAACTTTCTGCACGGGCTCGGACACATCCGGCTGGAACACGGTCCCGGGCCCAATAAATATCAGCGCGATCTAAATACAACGGCGGATCCGATCGTGGAAACGCGGCCTAAACACGCTTTCGTGCGCGTTTCAGCGACGTTTGCCGCGCTTATTACGAGCCGGCCGCTCCTGCGTCTTTCGAATGAAGTGGCAAAAGGGTAAATTGATGCACTAATAAGCCATCGACGAGGCAGGAAAACGTTGAACTTAAATATACCGACTGCTCGAGCGTCTTCGACACGGTCCAACCCTAAAACAAGTTCATTACAAACTAGGATCTAGCAGATCGTCTAATTTCAGAGCTAGCCCCTGAAATCCGATAATTCCTCAACCTTTAGACGCTCGAATAAACATGCGTCGATGATGTGTCAACAGCGATTCGACTCGATCCGCCGATAAAAAAATCAGTGCAAATGTCCGAAGCATCGGGTAACGGGAACACGTGTTTCTGATCGCGCGGAATGGTTCGATGGAAATGGCATCGCGACGATTTTTCGGTCGGCACGACTAAGAGGTGTAACGCGGCGCGTTCCCGTCTAAATGTAGAATTTATGGAACGAAGGCCGAGGAAGGTGTCGAGCGCGACGCGTGCTGCTATCGATAAGCAACCGTCGTAAGAGATTTACCGAGAAAGGAACATCTGTCGCGACGGTGTCGTCGCATCGCCACGCTTCAATTGCTGCGCGACCGTATCGGAGTTTTCTAGATAGAGACACCGTGGCCAAAATATTCGCTGGGAAACACCTTGCTGCCACTGACGCTCGATCGAGGCGTAGCGATCGAATTTGTCGGCGCGGTGCTCGATCGACGGATGAACAGTCGGGTGCAGCTTATTCGATTGCGGGTCGAGGAAAGTACAGTAATGTCTCTCTAATCGACGCCCAGATTGTCCACTAAATTGGGCAATTTCGGAAGAGAAGACACGATTATTTGAGTCTTGCAGCTCGTTTTTATAATTGTGGACAATTTATAACTATAAAAATAAACTGCAAGGCTCGAATAATGGTATCTCCTCATCCCAAATTGTCCATTTTTGTGAATACAGTAATGTCTCCCTTACCGACGCTCGGATTGACCACTAAATTGGACGATTTGGGAAGAGAAGATACGATTATTTGAGTCTTGCAGCTCGTTTTTATATTTCGTGACAATTCGTAACTATGAAAACGAACCGCAGGGCTCGAATAATCGCATCTCCTCTTCCCAAATTATCCATTTTAGTGGACGATCTGAGCGTCGATTAGAGAGACATTACTATATGTAGGAAAGTAACGCGGTCGCGAAGCATCCAAAAACAGTAGCCTGTCCGCGAACTGCCTAAGAAGCTAATGTAACTATAAAGTAGCCGAGCCTCTGATGTAACCACGAAACGCTCGAAAGCGAAAATGTACAGAGGCTCGTCGAGAAGAGGAATCGTAACTCCAAGGACGGGCTTGCTTCGGAAGGGGACACGTTCGCGAGGCTGCGGACAATGTTCTGTTTTGGCATTTCGATGCGAGCCGAGAAACTCTGGAATTTATCTGTTGTTGTTTTTTCAAGAGCACAGAGTTCTCTTCGACGACCGTAAGACGCGTGGAAAATGTTCGGTAATCGCGGAGAAAAATAAGCGGCAAGATAATCCATTGTTCTTTTGCGACACGAGATAGCCCCCGTAACAAGTTAAAAACATTGCCATGTACAATATTTTACTGTAACTCGACCGTTGCATAGACTATCTGTATGCCTGACAACCTAGGCAAAAGCTGAAATCGGGTCCTTTCTGACCCACCGTGGAATTCACCGTCTACAAGTTAGAACCTACTCGAATTGATTTTACATTAACTATTACAATGCTCCGAGACTATATACTCGCGGGTTTCACGGATAACGATTATTCGAGTAGAAAACGAAGCTGGGTCATTTCTGATCCACCATGGAATTTCATATCCGCAAATTAAAACTTACTCCAATAAGAAGTACGTATTTAACGTCGCGGTGCTTCGAGATTCGTTGTTCGCGAGTTCGTTTCCAAAAATGACCGTTCACGGACAGAGCGGTGCCTAGGTCACTTATGACCCACCGGGAATATTTCTCGTTCGCGAACGGAAAGCTAGGCCGATTGATTTTACGTTGTAGAACCGCGGTGCTTCGAGGCTCATTATTCGTAGGTTCGCTTTTAAAAATAATGATACTAGTTAATCGATGACCCAGCTACGCGTCCTACGTAGGAACGTTCCTCGGCGTCTCGACGGAGAACGGGCGAATCGGTGCGTCGTAGTTGGTAAACCGTCGATCTCCCTGGCCCGCGACGCAGTCCCGTGGAAAGCTCGAACTCGCGTTTATCCGGCCGGCTGTCCGAGCCCGGGTTACTCGCGGAGCCTTTAGCGTGATTTCGCGGTGCGTAAAGCCGGTCGGCGAGATCAACGAGGCATCGGGTGGCGCGTACGTTAACACCGAACAGCTATAATTCGATGACTGGGCTCGCACGAGGTGAACGAACCGGGCGGTGCACGCGCGACCCAGTCGTCGCGGAGCAGTCGCCGAACGGCGGAAAATCAAGAGAGAAAAAAGAAAAAGTGTGTCTCTGCTGAAAACTTACCGGTGCTACGCGACGTGCGGGCTGTGTCAACTGCGCAGTTGACGGGCTAGAACGCAGCGTTCAGGGACGTGGTGCCGCGGTACCGGTGCCCGAACGGTGCAACCGGTAGCGCTCAGCGACCGCCGCGCTATCTGACGTTCGTTCTAGCAACCGCGCACCTGGTCTCGTCGGTTCACGCCGCGCCACGAATTCGCGGACGAACGCACGCGAAAGGTTACCGCGAATTTCAACCGGACACGGTTCGATTCGCTTGAAATTTCGCGGCTAGATCGAGCAACGAATAAACTTTAGAACGACATGCAACAAGCTGTGCAAGCGGCAAGCTTTAGCGGAGAAATTCTTTAGGAAACATAGAGCGAAACGTTACACGTTTGTACTATAGTAAAACATAACATATCGGGCGGTCTAATTTCATAAGCAGGCTATTTTTAACGAAACGTTTTAGAACGAATCGAGATGCTGTCGCATGTTAAACTTTGAAAAACCGCTTTCAAATGTTGCGTTCTATGTAAACGACGTATTACTCACTTCGCTCCAACCGAGTCATAAGTAAAGGCAACCTACGCCTCTGCGATCGACTTCTGTTTACTCTGCCGACAGACTTGTTTGCATTTAACGGTTACACCGGCACACGATAACAACGCGACGACCACTTCGGATACAGATTCGACGATATCAATCGCGGAGCGGCTTTAACTGCAAATGTTTGATATCAAACGACGCATCGTCGATGCAAGCTCCCGTAGATTCCGCGCCTGACGGTCACGTGACCGAACTCGACGACGGAAGCGCCATCGCGTCGCGACCCGAGGAACCGAGACGGCGAGCCGGTGGCGCTATCGGACGGGAGCAACGCGAAACCGCCGGCGAATCGACGAGATCGAACGCGAACGACACGAGTCCGACGCACGAACACACCGCGCGACGACAGCGCGCGCCGGAGAAGCAAAAACAGCCACCCTTCTGCCTGTTCCCCCACCCCACGATCCCATGAAAAACCCTCGATCCTACAGGTCCTGACGTCAAAGCGAAGGAAACAACGCCCTTTGTCGTAGTTTCGGGACGGATCGGAACAGCGAGGGAAAAAGGACCAGACATTTTGCCCGCGCGCCCTCTTTGCACAACATGGTGTAATCCCGTTCGACACGCGTAATCTGGTCGCCAGTTTTCCATGGCAGTTTGCATCACGCGAGCACGTTGTCACCTCCTCGTCACCCAGAAATTGTCGACTCACCGTCTCGTTTTCCGCGATGCACGCGGGCTCTACCTCCATGTCTTCCGTGGCTCGGTCTTCTCGTCGAGTTTCCAAAGGCGAATCCTCGGTGACACAGCTTCGTTCGATCCGGATCCCGTTCTATCTTCCGAGACTTTCGAAACGACAACGTGTGTCTGTTTACAAACACTGCAAGGTCACTCAGCAGACCCCCAGACCTCTGACTGTCGAGTAGGTTTCATTACGTCACGATCGGCGAGCGCAGCGCGCCGCGCGGCAACTCGGGGAAGCAACTTGAACTTTGATCGCAGGCAACGGTACGGTAGGAGCGAACGGGAGCGAGCACAAACGAGGTATGGGAGAGTCGACGATAGAGCCCGATGTGTTTTTCTGTTAAAAAAGACTATGAAATAAATCTTTTAAGAAAACGTATCGCAATTATTGCATCGATATAAATCCTGTGGAATTGTTGAGAGCATACTTAATTTGTTTCTTGCTTTTTCTTTCTTATCGAAGGAATTCTTACGCGTCCAGAAAATTTGAAAATTTCATCGTGCACGCGTTTTCTCGATGCCTAGGAGTTTTAGGAATTTGAAAATTTTTAATTTTAATATCGAGATATGGCTTTGCTGCTTTATCGATATAAAATAAAAAATAACCTCGTCCGCGATGTCTGTAACGTAATTTCAGGGTCGATTAGGCAGCTAAATTCGTCCACAAAAGTCTACGAAGTATCTGGTCTTGTTCGCATAACTTGTTCATGCGGTAAGTTTATTGTAACCCTCGCTACTGTCTGTCTGACAAGTCTTATTCTCCTTATCAATTGAGAACTGATATTTTTGATAACCGGGAGTGCATTAGTGGGCGTGCAACTTCTTGGATTAGTTACTTACGTACTCTGGAAACTAAACAACCATTTTCGTTTTTATATATTCTATTTCGCATAAAGTGACATACAAAGGTACGTAACTGTATGAATTTATTAATTAAGAATGATTTTTGGTATCTAAAGACAACGATAATCTTATCTTGACGTGTAAACGACGATACACAATAAATGCATCGATTTTTAAGTCACCGTACCGACAATGACTCTCTAGTACTCATTCCACTGTGGTCCTTGAACGCTAAAAATACCCGATGAATTTTATATATTTTTTCTCGATCGCTGAATTCGTTTATCGATGCTGTACATACGACTATGTTAGCAAGAGTGTCATTTAATGCGACAATTAAAAAAGATAGTCGCGTTTGAGTAATATTGATAAAGACGCTTCGTTACGATATCTACGAAATGAATTTTTAATTTACGACCGATGGTGATTTTCCCCACAGCATCATAAATTGCGAAACATTCTATGTCGCCTTATTAAAATAAGTTTAACCGTTATGTTTCTATCGAAGATAGAATAGTAATATAATATAGTAAAATAATAATAGTAATATAATATAGTAAATAATAATATATAATATAAGTATATATAATATAGTAAATAATATAGTAAATAATAATAAGAATATAGTAAATAAAAATAAGTATATTTAAAACTGTGAAAGTGATTTGAAACGATCTGTATTCTTTTCCTTTCGTTTGGACTTTGAGATGCTGCACCGATAAAGTAATAAAAGTAATCGAGCATCAAAAAATGCGCGTCGTTCGCGAGAATCGTATTATTTATAATTGGATCAAATAATTAAATATTAATGATCTAAACTAAATAGGAAAATGTTGCCGCCAACATACGTTGAAGGCTTTCACGATTTGGAGGCTGTACAAACAATGGAGTACCGGCCTCTTGGTAAAACTGGTTTATTGGTCAGTAAATTGTCATTCGGTGGTGGACCTTTCGGTTGTCATTATGGGTTAGTATCAATAAATCACAACGAATTTAACATGCAGAAATATTCGACGAAAATTAAACAATCGAATGGTAAGATGTAAAACATTTGAAAAGTAAGCTGCCAACGATTGCAAATAAACGATCTACATTCTGATTAATCGATAGTACGTACGATGAGGAAGAAGCTATCGAGATGATACGTCAAGGAATAAAGAAGGGCATTAATTATATTGATACCGCACCGTGGTATGGACTGGGTCGTTCCGAAACCTTGATTGGGAAAGTAATTAACTATTTTTGAATTATACTATAGCAAAATTAATCATTCTTATTTGGAGAAGTAATTATTCGAGGAACTTTCACGCGAAGATTAAACATTTAATATACGTGCAAAGTTGAAAATATTCGTACGTGTTTATCGACGATTAAAGAACGCGTAATAACAATTTTATGCGATTACGTTCCATATTGTCAAAGTTAAGCATTTCGTGGAACTTGTCTAATACAAAAAAAAATGAAAGATGATCTTAATTTGTATGATTACGCTTATCGTTAATGAAATAAACCAAAAAAAATGTTTTATTTTCGTGAAATAACCACGACGAAAGGCCAGATAAAATTATTTGAATATCGCAAATTCCTACGTGCCGATAAATTGTTGAAAGTTTGAGAAAACGCAATTTGAGAAGAAATTTTTTTATTTCGCCGCATTCGCGAATCTCCAAATGGGAATATTCCCTTAATACGATGTACTAACAAATTGTTAATTGTTAATATCTGGCTTTTCTTTCCAATGATAGGCTTTAAAAGGTATTCCCAGGCAGGCATATTACATTGCAACGAAAGTGGGAAGGTACGAATTAAATTACGAAAATATGTTTGATTTCTCGAAAGAGAAAACTAGGAAAAGTTTCAAAAACAGCTTGGACCTCCTAGGTTTAGATTACGTCGATGTTATACAGGTAAATAGAATTTTTCATCATTTTCACACGTAATACATATTTCTAAATCGCCTTTAAAATTTTACAGGTTCACGATATAGAATTCGCTGCAAATTTAGACGTAGTGATCACCCAAACTCTACCGGAATTATCGCGTCAGGTCGCGGATGGTAAGGCGAAATTTATTGGCATCACCGCATATAAGGTGTCTTCTTTGAAAGAGTGCATCGAAATGAGTAACATTAGAATATCTTGTGTATTATGCTACGGAAGATTGACGCTACTGGACGATACGTTGATGGAATATATTCCATTTTTCAAGGTATCATTGTCCATCTACGATATTGTTGATCTAACTTTGTTTAGATAGCGCACGGTCAACGGGAAAACTATATATATATATATATATATATATATATATATATATATATATATATATATATATATAATTATTACATATAATTATTATATATGTATAATTACGTATAATTATTATATATATTGTAGGCAAACGACGTTGGCGTAATTAATGCCTCATTGCCCTGCATGGGACTCTTAACTAATAATGGTCCCCCAGCTTGGCATCCGTGTTCAGAGCAAACGAAAAAAATATGTTCGGAGGCAGGAAAATATTGCAAGGTAAATACGATAAATTTATTGTACGAAAATATTTTTAACTAATCCGACAAAATATTTAACTTTCAGGATCATGGCGTAGAATTGGCGAAGCTAGCAATATCTTATGGCCTGCAATGTAAAGATGTATCCACGTGTCTCGTTGGAATGCAAACTTTAGAACAATTAAAAATGAATTGCGAAGTTCTGATAAGTGGCCTTACAGAAAAAGAAAAAGTTTTATTGGAGGAAATTCAAGAAAAGTAAGCTGTTTC